GCTGCCCTGGGGTGGGGTGTTCCCGCTGCAGGGGGTCTCCCCTTCCCGCTTCGTTTCGGACCCGCGGCGCTGCAGCTGCAGCCTGCGGCTGAGCAAAGCCGGTGCCCCTTAACAGTTGCAGAGGCCGCGGCGTGCAGATCCCGCTCGAACTCTCTCCCTTTGCAGGCCACAGCAACAGACCAGGTGGTTGGATTCGGCTTGGTTGCCTTCAGCCTCGTTCTCTTTGTATACTACACCCTCTGGATCATCATACTGGTATGGGTCTCCTCTGGCTGTTACAGTCCCAGTCGCTTCCTGCTCAGGCTTTAGCCAAGGCTTTGTTTAGGTGCTGATGTGTCCATGTGCCTGAAGGACTCAGCCTTGCCAGATTCATGATTAAAATTTATTTCAGGGTAGAGCTTTCTCTGTTTGCTGGCACAGCCCTGGTCCCTTCTGGGTGCGCCTGCCCTTTCCTGGGCAAGACCAAGCTTTGATCGTGCCGCCTGCCCTGCTGCTCTCAGACAGGCTGACCCGGCCGGCGTGAGATCTGAGGTTCACTCGAGCTGTCAGCAAGAGCTGAAGCCTGGTCCCTCTGGAGGTGTTGGTGTTCATGTCTGTAGTCCTCCAGATTCCTGGTTCTGGTGGGTGATCACAGAGGGGAAACGTAAAAAGAGACAGCTCTTACCAAAGCTGGAGCCTGGTAGGGAGGAGAAGAGTTTAGAGGATGCAGAGCTCTGGAAAAGTGATTATGAGCCTGGGAGTTTGCCCACTTCTAAGGACACAGCAGCTGGGGTCATTAGTGGTTTTCTTCCTGGAAAGAAACGGCTCCTCCTGAGCTTTCCAGGTACAAGAGGCCTGGTTCAGCCTTGGGCTGATATCTGAACTCCTGGCAGCTTCCCCTCTAACCTCTGAGAGTTTTGAATTCCCCTCTTGTGCCTGCTTACTCTGCTGTCCCATATGTGTTTATACAGTCCATAGTCCCAGGAGCGTGTAGGTGTGCTCTCTGCTGTGTAGGAATCCTTACACTGCTCTCTAGTGTCCAAAGCCTTCCACTGGCCTTTGCAGAGGGATCCTGGTGGGATTGCCATGAAGCAGAGCTGTTATCAACCTCTCCCTTCTGCAGGGCAGAGGGTCCAGGGATTCACTGTGTTCAGCACCAAGCGGGTGGGCAGCCATGCCCATCCTGAGACCCCGGGGCCATGGGACCCCTGTGCCGGCCTCGTGTAGCTGAACACTGACGCCTTCACTGCCCACCCGCTGCCGTGTCTCTGCAGCTGTGGGCTGAGCCACCTGCAGGTCTGGGCACCTTTTTGTGGTTGGGGTTTTTTTTAATTAGCTGTCTCCTCACTATTTCTGCTATTTCTGTCCTGCTTTCACAACCACGAGGCTGCAAGTGTTGGAGACTCTCCCGGGTCTCGTGCCTGCCTGCTGACACCCCTCTCTGTCTCCCACAGCCCTTCATCGACAGCGACCATGGGATCCACCGGTACTTCTTGCCTAGGGAGTACGCCGTTATCATCCCCGTGGTGGCTGGGCTGCTGCTGCTGCTATTTATAGGTGAGTGTTATTTCTGTTGTTCTAATTAGAAGCTTCTAAATTAGGAAGAGAGAAGAGGGTTGCTCGGGGGCTTAGTTGATGTGTGAGACTTGTGACACACTCTCTGTGGCTCCTGCCGCAGCTCAGCCTGGCACGGGCTCTCGGGCGTGTTTGTGTGTAACTTTGGCTGTTTGAGCCTCTGGGCAGCGGAATTGTTTTTCACTTGCTCTGCTGAGGTTCTCTTTCTCACTACAATGTGTTTTAAAAGTGTCTGTAATTGGAAGTTTTCTGGCTGAATCTTCTCTCTCGTGGTAGGCGTGTTCATAATGGTTGTGATGTGGAAGAGCAGGAAACCTGCCAAGAAGTCGGACTGAAGGCCCAGCTGAGAGAAATGAGGAGAAGGTGCCCACCCTGTGGCGGCACAGCCAGGAAAGACTTTGCCTGCAGCGCCTGGCAGCACCTCCAGAGCTGGCTGCGCTCTCCCACATTCCGTCCTGCAGAAATGAAGCCACCTGTAGTTTACAACTTACTGACCAAAGGGAAGCAAAACTGACCCCAGGGCTCGTTGAGAGAGGGACCAGAGCCCCAGCCGTGAGGGACCTGCTCCCAGCCTGGGGCTGCCTGTACCAGCCACGCTTCAGCCATGCTGGCCGGAGAAGCTGGGGGGGTCCAGCAGCTGTAACTGGCAGTGAGTTGAGCCCTGACCCTTGCCTGCTGCTCGGCCTCTGGACAATCCTCCCCCTCTGCTCTCGCTGTGTCCAGTAGTTTGTTCCTTCTGGTTGGTTTTTTTTTTTTTAAATATTTACATATGGTTTGGGCGGGGCAGTTAATGAGATTCAAGATTGAGAGGAAAGAAATGAGACTGAGCTTGGAAAGGGCAGCCTCGTGCTCTCCATTTGCCTGCTGGAAGGACTAAGCACCGTGGTGCTGGTGGGCTCTTGCCTTTCTGAGGAGGGACCCCTGCGAGGCCAGGTGTGCAGAGGATGCAGGAACACGCCAGTGCTGCCCTCTGCGTCCCCTCCTGAGGGGGTGGCAAGGAGATGCCCTGGGTCACAAGGAAGCGTTCGGCTGCTTGCGACACAAGGAAGTGGCTCTGCTGCTGACGGGGTTCCTGCCCCCGGATAACATTCCACATGCTGGCTGGCGTGGTGGTACCACCCTGTCCTTCCCCCGAGGGGTTTCCTCTCCTGACAGCGTTTGCTGCCCCAAGGTGGGGTGCCCTGGCAGCTCCCCCAGACCGCAGCAAGCGGGATCACCCTCAGTAAAGGTCTGCGAGGTCTCGGGTCCCTGTGTTCTGCCTGTGCTGCGGGGTTGCTGCAGGCCTGCCGGGATGCTCTCTGCTGCGTGGCCCTGGCAGTGCCCAGTGCCGTGCTGGGAAGGGTCCTGCCCTGGGCTCTCCGTGGGCTGCGTCCTGCTGGTGGGAACAAGCACCAGAGGGAACCTGGCTGGGCATGCCTTGTGCTGGCCCTGCTGTGCTGGGGGGCTGCTTTCCCCTGCCTGAGGTAGCTCCAGCAAAAGGAGGGGAGATTTGGGGCGCCCTGATCCTTCTCGTGTGTACTGCCAATTCCCCTACCAGACAGCAGCGTGTCCCACCCTGCCGGGGACCCCGGGTGCCGCCTGGGTCTTGGGCTGAGTCTGGCTGTGGTTTAACCCGCCTTGTGCTGGCCCTGCTGTGCTGGGGGGCTGCTTTCCCCTGCCTGAGGTAGCTCCAGCAAAAGGAGGGGAGATTTGGGGCGCCCTGATCCTTCTCGTGTGTACTGCCAATTCCCCTACCAGACAGCAGCGTGTCCCACCCTGCCGGGGACCCCGGGTGCCGCCTGGGTCTTGGGCTGAGTCTGGCTGTGGTTTAACCCGCGGCGTGGCCGGAGCTGGTGGGGCTGCAGAGGCTGGAGGTTTGTTCCCAGCTCCGGGGAGGCTGCCCGGGCTG